ATAGAATATCTCAGCGAATTTTCAGCCTTCCAGCTTATCTGGCAAGCGAATTATCTAATTCGCTACAACTGTCTTCGAAGTGCCCTAAGTCGTGGCGCAAGTGCAAATCAATACTCATTTCAGGTATACGATTTTCCATATTGGCGGCGAACATGCTGACAAATTTTCAGCCACTTTTTCGGCAAGATTTCGAGTTAGCACCATACCAAGTTGCAAACTTTGACGTGATCGTATGCGTTGCACAAGCGTGTGCGACAGCTGAATTTGGAAACTTTTGCTCGCACATGCACAGAGGATACCTCTGCAAAATTTCAGCAGTATCTCTGCAAAATTGTACCTTGCCTGGTTCGCGAAATCGTTTCCCGCCAACGAAATTTGCCTATTTTTTTGGGAGGTGCGGGGTCTAGGCGTGTTTGGGGGAAGATTTTGAAACGGGAGGGTGACAAACAGGGTAGGAACATATATCCAAAGTCCCAGTCTCTCAACTTTCCTGGTCGCTGAGATGAAAGTGGGGGACAAAATGCACTCGCTTCTGAACACACGCAGACAGCCTCTCGAAAATATGCGTTTTTGCTGGCTGTAGCAGCAAAGCAAAAACGCATAAGAACGACCGCTAAACGGAAATTGTTTATTTTCGTTTGTGCAAAATTTACGATGATTTAGGCTAGTGAGTGCATAAGGTAGGTTTGAAGCAACAACCAATTCATGCAGTTAATCTAATTACTTCAAGTGTGGTGCAAAAACGCATGGTCACACCGGCAAGCTTGGTGCGCTCCAGCCTAGGTTGCATTTGCATGCATGCAAAAACACATAATTAGCAAAATACGGGTGTGGAAACCCAGCATCAAACACTAGAATGCTTGTAATTGCCACACTTGGGCTAATGGAGCGGAAAATGCGGGGCGCCATCTCCAGATGTTTGTTTTTTTTACCCACTGTGGAACTGGGAGAGGATGAAGGTTCTTTCTGGAAAAATTTCTCGAGGACTCACAGCTCGATTTATGAGGCGGAATGTGGAGGACGATTAATTAATGATTGTTCCAACCAGGGCCATCGCTGTTTTGTCTTTAGAGCTATATGAAGTAAAATTTGCTGAGGGCTTAGAGAATGCCCTTTAAATAACTCGAAATGCCTTGATTTCAATTACGTTATCTCTGCCATATCAAAACAGTGCTGGTATCAAGTTTATTTCTTATAGAAAGCAGCCGATTTTTATCCTCTTATTGCTTTTGCATATTACGTAAATGTAGAAACGATCAGCGGACTGTCGGTATGCAGTTGTGTTTCTGAACTTTACCACCCAGTTTCAACTCCACAATCCGAGAAGCTAGGGAGCTGAAACTTT